AATGTCAATTAAAATGTTTACGAATCGCTTAAATAATAATTTATTGAGGGGGTTAATTCAAGAGTAAAAGTGTGAATTCCATAAATATATGATTGAAAATATTTTTGAAGAAAAATAAATTTTAAAAAATGAAGACCAAACATGTTAACAAATGAATATATTTATTTTTCAAAAAATAAGTTTTTTATTACCATTTCATTTTTATTATGAAATGATTCTAATCTTAATATGTTAGATTGTGCTTCAAAATTACATAATCTATCAAATATAATTTTTAAAATTAATTTTTATAAAGTAATATGTTTTTATGATTTTTTTTTTAGTAAAGTAATAATGGAGACTAACCTCCGTGTAATGGAGGCCGTTACACGAAGGCTCATGTTATAGAGGCTCAAGATAAGCCTCCATAATAATGGAGGAGATTACGGAGGCTATGGAGGCTCATGCTTGAGCATAATCGTTATGGAGGCTCATGCTATATTATAGCTCCATTATATGGAGGCTCAAGCTACTCCATTATTATGGAGGCTCATGCTATATTATAAAATTAATAAAATTTTAATTATTTTATATTTTTTAGTACTATTATATTATACTTTCATTTTCGATCATATATTTTATGAGCATAATAACTTTTATTAAATTTTCAATCGTTCATCAATAATTATTATAATATACTAAATATCTAATTTTTATCCAAATCAAATAGGGGATAAACATACTCTAAAGTTCAGTACCAATGTAAAACATATATTAATGTAATAAAGTCTCCGTTTGGTCCTCATTAAATTCAATTACATTACATTATATTTTTCTTTCTGTTATTTCAACCACACAATCTTCCATAAAATAATATTAGACGTAAATCGAAAATTTTTCATTCTTTTTCAACCAATCATTTTTCAAAAAAAATACTATTCCCCCATTTTCATTTTCAGAAAATGTGGGCCAAATGGGGGCAAAATATTTTAGAACAGTTCAGGGACTAAATTGAAATTCTTTTATAAGTTCAACGACCAATCAAACTTACCGTAGAACTGACTAGTAACAACCAATCAAACAGAGACCTTCACCTTTCACTGCTTTTGAATCCATTCATTCAATCAGCGCTTATACTGGTACATATAAAGTTGGTGAATCATCCAATTTTTTCTACCACCCTCGTTCGCTGTTTATCCGGCCCCGAGAGGGAAGAGGATTAGACGCCAGACTGAAAAATCTGCTGTTTTCTACTGACCCAATACTTCAATGGGTGCTATTAAAGCAGCGGTAGCCGATGGGGTGCTGACTTTTATGTGGGTTTTTTAAACATCGACGTTGGGCCGCACTCACTTTTGTGGTAGCTTCTGCTCTCGGAGTATCCCAAGGCCTACCCACTCTTTTCATCACTACTGTTCTCGTTTTTCTCCTGTTGATCTTGTTCGGCATCATCGGCGATGTATTGGGAGGCGCTACCTTCAATCCCACTGCCCTCGCCGCCTTCTATGCCGCTGGTATTGGGGGCGCTGATTCGCTAGTCTCTGCCGCCCTCCGATTTCCTGCCCAGGCATGACTTGCCTACTCTTCATTTTTAGATTAGTCAGATATTAAACACAGTATGCAATCATCCTACTGACTTGATTCAAACGTAGATTAATAAGTGGAAATTCTCAATTGATGATATGTTTGTGAAAATCTAGATTGCTCAGGGCTAGGCTAGATATAATGAAACTCGAGATAATAAGAATAAAAAATGAACTTCCAATTTTTTAAAAAATTCACAGATTTTAACTGAACGACCAAATTACAACAAAAGGCAAACTTGAATAATGAGTTTGCACAAAATAAAGTTCGGTGACTAATGCGAAGCTTTGCCATAAGTTAAGTAAAAGTTATGCAAGGAATGAGAATGGTAAAGCCGTTACTTGTATCCTTGACAGGCAGCTGGTGCAGTAGGTGGGGCTCTTGCAATTATGGAGGTTATGCCGATGCAGTACAAACACATGCTTGGGGGTCCTTCTCTGAAGGTTGACTTGCACACTGGAGCCATTGCTGAGGGAGTTTTGACGTTCACGATCTCTTTTGCTGTCCTTCTCATCGTCCTTAGGGGTCCAAGCAGCCCACTTGTGAAGAATTGGTTGCTTGCCATGTCAACTGTTTCGCTAGTCGTTGCCGGTTCAAGTTATACTGGACCTTCGATGAATCCTGCAAATGTAAGTGGTGCATCTCTTTTCCGTTCTTTTGCTAGATTTTGAAATAGTATAAGATGATATATCTATGTCTTATTGTAGAATATTCTAAATCCTTTAAAATTGCAGACTAAAGAAACAAAATAACATGAGGTGAGAGTTTCTCCTTCCTATAGCACAAAATGAAAAGATATCTGCCAAACATTTTGTATTTAACTTTTTTATTTCATATCCCAAATGCCAACTTAGAATATAGAAGTTACTTTTCCCATTGATGGTACATGATTGTGTATCTTTTGCAATCAAAGTGAGATTGGTAATGTGATCGAGCTTTGACATTCGGAGCACAATCAGAGTACTGTTCTCTTGACTTAATTTTTGGATTAGGAATGTGATTTGGTCCCCATATTTACATTTATGGGGTTCACTCATCCCATCATTATTGTCCCGTTATGGGGTGTCAAATTATCGAGATCCTCAACTACCAGGTTTCTATATGAGAACTTTAGGAAAGAATGCTACTAGATTCTATTTTCCTCTATGCACCAAACTGTAACTGATCCTCAAATGCCGTCACCCTAATTAGGACTTTGTAGCACACAGTAATACTTTCCTTTACACTCACGTTAAAATTTGTTTTGGAAGATCCATCTTTCTTTAACTTCTGACGTCTTTCGACGTGATTGGATTTTTCTCCTTCCTTTGGAAGAACCAATCATTTTCTTATTGAGACCCGAAAACACCAGCTTGATTAATTAACTTTCCAATTCAAAGAGCTTTAACTTTGCTCCTTTTTCTTCAATCATGTATGTCTTCAAAATAATGAATGGGACACAGTCTGTTACAAAGCCAAATAATAATTTAGACTTTGATTCATGTTTAGCTTATCTTAAAGTCTCTTTAGTTACATTTGCAAATTGCTAATCTCAAATCGTGAACTAAAAATGTGCGGAGAACTTTTGAAGCATAACTTTAACATTTTTAAGCAGTAATTAATTAGTCAAAACTGCTCTCTAGATATTGGCTATATGCCAAATTTTTAGGTAGAGTTTTAGGACATTATAAGAGTTTTGATCTGTAACTGCGGTCAAATTGTTCTTTCTGTGTATTTTCTTGAATCTGGAAAGTCAAAATTGTTCTTTGAAGTCTTATATTTGCATCTTATTTCTTGATTCTCTTCTTCCCTAATCTGACTTATCTATTCTCAAAATTGTTAGAAGATATTTTGCAAAGTGATAGTTTTGAGCATGTGCAGTCAGAAGTTTCTTAGTGTAGAATACTTCTGATTTTCATGCCCTTCAATTAAGTTGCCAAACATAGTTTTCGGATTCTAGTTTTGACATTTGTAATGTGGTTTACATGGGACGGCTTAGCCTCACAGAGAAAAGCTACAACCCTGGAGTTCAAATCACTTTTAGTTCCATAACTACTGCAAAATGGATTGGCTGTGCTTTAGTCTGGTTTCTTAGAACAAGTTTGCTAATATCAGAACATCTTGTGCAATTCTTTCTTTCTTAATTTGATATTTCTCGCAAAACTTGTGTTATAACTGGCTTTCAATTGTGCCTAATATCATTGCAGGCGTTTGGGTGGGCTTATGTACATAATAAGCACAACACATGGGAGCAATTCTATGTTTATTGGATCTGTCCCTTCGTAGGAGCAATATTGGCTGCGTGGACATTTCGCTTTCTATTCCCGCCCCCATCAAATCAGCACAAGGCGAAGAAAGCCTGAGAGTTTAAAGAAGTAATTATCAGTTAACACTGGTGGACAGTATTTCAGTTAAGATTGTTGTTAAAGACAATTTTTTGGGATTCCATCCCAAATTTTGGAATCGCAAAAAGTTGATCTATTAGGAGTAGCTCAAGCTTTATAAACCTATTAATTACCCCATATTTAACTGATGTGGGATTCTCTTTACACTTTCTCAACATATACTGTTGGAGGATTTCATCGTATATGTTATGTTTACTGAACATTAACTTTGCTATGTAGATCGTGATGTCTATTTTTATTAGTTTAATTGATGAGATAATAATGTGTCACTCTCCTTGATTGAAACACAAATAAACTCTAAAAGAAAGTTCCTTTTTTTTTTTTCGTGGAAACTAGTTATTTTATAAATGTCAAAATATAACACTAAATATAAAAATTTTCATTTGAAATGCTTTATTTATAGATCGAATATATAGTATGATATTATTAAAAAATAAAGTTACTTTCGCTTAATTGTCGTCCTCTTCAATCCTATTCTCATTGCTCATCCTATGTGTGGCTCTAATTATTTTTTCCATTTCCCCCTCCCATCTTCCAGGATTCCCTCCAATCTCCATATTGTGAGTTTGAGAGGAATTTGCAAGTCTATAAGTTTTCAAATAGTAACCCAAGATTCTCTCTAAATCATTAACTTGACTATTAGATTGTGTAGAATTGTGAGGAAAGAGGAATGAAGGATCACAACCCATCATTTTTCTTAATAAACGAAAAACATTAAGGTGTAATGTGATGATATATCAAAAATATATTAATATTCTTTTATTTGTTACGATAAAATGATATGCTAAAATGTTTAATATTAAACATGTACATAGGATAAGAGGAAATTTAGAAGGGAATGTAGCAAGATAATAAGTTGGAAATGACAAGATAAAAACTAGGAGGTGAAGATCCCCAAGAAAAAACATATATGATGAATCTTTTCTTTTGATAAATATGAAGAGAAAAAGAGGTCATTTTGAAAAATATCATAAATTTTGTAAACAAGCCTTTTTGACCTTTCCTCTCCAAGTTGGTCCCTGTTAAACAACTTCATGGTCTGAAAGGACTATATCTTTCAAAATTAAACAAAGAAGCTATGTTATATTTATTTTCAATTTCGAGCCTGAGGTTTAAGGTTTAAGGTTCCCCATTTCAAACCCCATTGTCGCGCCAGGTAATTGCTACACCACTCCTCTCCTCCACTTCCACCGCACGCCACCGCCACATCTTTTGGTATTTGAAGATCGATCTTTCCTGTTTGCTCGTTTTTTTCTTCGTTTTATTTTAATTTCTGTAGTGTTTGCATAAATTAACATTTTACTTCAGAAGTGAAAGTATAAATCAGTCTGATTTCTTTATTGTAGTGGATATGAGACTCGTTCGGAGTATGTTCTGGTCTCCCAACGCCCGCCTTTCTCGTCAATTTCAACGGCATATTGCGAATCCCCGTCAAGGTATAATTATGTTTATGCACTGTTTTTTATGAAAAAAATGTCTGCTGGTTTGTTAATTGAAAATTTTCCTGAAAATAAAGCTACCACTGCATTCTGTTTTAGGTTATGTTAAGTGTACTATCAACTTGGAGCTGGAACTGAGTTTTTTTTTTATACGTCAAGGCGTGTAAATAATATATTGGCTGGAAAATAGTAGCGCATGGGCAATCTAATTTGTACTGTCAATTTATAAATTGGATAGTTAAACTAGCATTACACCTTGTAATAGATAATCCCTCCACTAGTAATTCGCAGAATTAATTAATTGAATACTTCCACATGTAGTTATTTTTTCCAGCCTTCTCTTCCTCCTCTTGATGTAACTCTTTAGGTAAGGCTTCACACCTCCTCGTTGTAAATTAAGGGGTGATGTCAAGCCTCCCATTGAAGCATGGGTCCTGCATAAGGGGGAAAAAAAAACTGGCTTTTCATCTTCATTTACTTAAAATGAGATCTAACATTCACTCAGATTTCTATCTTTTTTTGAGCTACAATAGAAAGAAGTTTTAGAAAAAGGTATGTGAAAATCCGCGTGCAAAGCCCAGCAGAAGCGGAATGGTTTATAAATCATGATGTGACTAAACATACTCATTTTTTCAGCTACTCTTTTGCATTTATGGATAAGGAACTTAATAGTTCATTTTTTGATGTGATACTCTTATTTTCTTTTTCATTTTTTCTTGTTGTCCAAATGTATTTCCACGAGGAACTAGCGTGTGCTGGTTAAAGTTAAATGTTTACATGTGTCAGAAATATTAAAATTTTCAGAAAAATAAAATGTGGACTCGTGCATATCTATCTCAAATTTATTACAATAAAGTTTCTTTCCAGTTTATTGTGATTGGAGATTAGATGCCAAATGACCCTTACTCCACTTCATCTATACATGTTAATGATCTTGCATTATACTTTTTTCTTGCACATGATCTCTTTAACTTGAGAAAAGCGCTGAATTTTATGCAAATTCTTGTCAAGAAATACTTTGGTGTTCTGTTATTCTAATAATATATTCTATCTGGGTGCATCACAGTGTACATTGAGACATCCAGTAATGGGCATAGATCTATTATAAAGTGGCATGGAAGGTTATTTTCTGCTTCTGTTCCTTCTGATAAAACCGAAGTCAAAAAATCTCGTAAAAAGGTCTCAAAGGATGAACGTAAAGCCATGGTGGAAAGTTTTGTTAACAAGTATCTTTCTTTCACCTTTGCTTTCTTTTCAGTTGCTAGCTTATGTTGACATTGTTTTATGCAATTGATGTTGTATACTAATTTTCAAATAATAAAATATGCTTTTTAAAAATAGAAAGTTTCTTGAACAACTCTTAACAAATTTGATCTTTATCAAACGAGTATCCGAATTTTAGATTGCTTTTTTTAAATAAGTACTTATTCACATTTCTTCATAATTAAAAATAGGTTTTCTTTATTGATCATTCATTGCTTTCAGGTGTAAATACATCAAAGTCATTGACAGCATAAACCCTAATTTATTAATTGCCTTCGGCATCAGATTTGCAATCATTTTCTTAATAAGTTTCTGTAGAGTTCTCGTCTTTCTTTGGACCTCTTATGATCAGTTTGAAGAGATGCTGATGCTTGATGCCAAATGCAATCTCAGTGTTTTATTTTGTTTTCAACTGACAGAACAGCGCGTAACCACATTTCATACTTCCAAAAAATGATCACTTGGATCAATATAGTTGCTGAATTGTTTGCCAAATTTACAATAAATATGCCTTGAAATTATTAGTCTTGTACTTTGTGATCACTCTCTTAGAAATCATATAGTCAAAGATGTCAATTAGATTGCCAGACTTTTGGCACAGTTAGTAATGAAATTTACACTGCCAGACGAATTTAAGGTTCAACGTTATTTAGTTGTTGTATGGGATTGAACTAGCACTCTTTTTTTTTTCTTCTGTTACTTTTCTCACTAGCGACACAATAATTGTCTGAGAAACTTGCATGGGAAAATAAATTACTCCCTTCTTATATGTGTCGGGGCAGTGGTCAATCAAGTGCTATTCTTGCATTGCTGAACTCACATACCCAATGAGGGGGGTGGCCATACTCCTCTATTGCAATACATTTGCAATTGTGTGATTTTATGATCATTACTCATGGTTATTAGACTTCTTACCTAAGTTTTATTGGACTAAAAACAATAGATAAATCATCCAGAAATGTAGCGGTGCGTGTGAGAACTAATTTGGTATGGTTATTGACTTCTAACTTTTATTATGTTATTGATGATATCTGTATGTGAGAGTTGTAATATAAGTTAATATGTTCTACCGTTTGGCAGGCATAAAGCCATGAATGCAGGAAAGTTCCCATCTGCTTTTAAGGCTATGAAAGAGGCTGGTGGCTCTTACTATGTTATTAGGCAGATCCTTCAAGAGCTGGAATACAACTCTAAAATGTCATCCATGGCCACAAAAGATTTAAGTTCAGTGGGAAATTATAGGATGAAGAAGAATGAGATGTCAACTGAAGAGTTGTCGAGCAGTTCTGTTAATTCTCAAGATGCTCAAAAGATAAATAAAACTCCAATGGAAGAAGACTTCATCAACCGTGGTGAATCTTCCACTGATGCTGCTCAAGTTTCAGGCAATGTATCTACATTGGATGCACATATTAGTGAAGATGGTCAAATCTATAACGAGAATTCTGTGGAGAATCAAAATTCCAACTATTTTTCTACTAAACCTCAGCGAGTAGTAGGAAAATCTGATGAAATTTTGCATATACATCCTGAGAAACCAGAGGATTATGCGAAAAGGGAGAAAGGATCTGAAGATACGCTGCAATTTGATGGTCTGAAGCCCAATGCTCAGCAGCAGAAGTCATCAAGGTAATTCTCATTATTTCTAGCTTATACTTTGAGATGTCTGATGGTGTGTTTTAAAATTTGGATTTACTATCCTGTGCCCTGTCAGCAATGGCTCAGATTGCTTTTATAATTTATAATGTGATGTTTATTGTATTTGAACTATACCCTAAACTTAGAATGGATATGCTATGACAGTCACCTGATGGAATTTGCCTTGTGTCATTCTTTTTCCTCAAGGCAGGCTGAATTCTATGTCTTGTATAAATTAGGGTTACAGAGGGAGTTTCCAATCCATTAATAAGTTATGTTACGAAAATTATTTTATACTTTTACATGGAAATTTGTATGTTCCATGATTCAGTAAAAACTCTCATTGTTTTTTACCTAGGGAATTGTACAAAGAGCCAATTGAAGATGCAGAACCTGAAGGGAAATCATCAGTTTGGGAAAATTTGAAGTCTTTTGCAAATGGATTTCTGGGCATATGGAGGAAACGTTAATACCTTCTTCCAGATGATCATTGAAGATTTAAAGTTTTGTATTAAAACTTTTCATGCTCAACACTTGCATTCAGTGATTAACGCATTCCCATGTGCATCATGAATCGAGTAAGGATTATCGACATCGAAGAAAGAAGACGATATTCACCAGTTGGATTATCGCTATTGACCACTCCAGAATGATTATGTCAATAGGCATTAACATTAAATTCTATGTAGATGATTGATCCGGAGGCTGTAGAATGATTTTGAATTTGTGACACAGATTTATGTAGAGAGAATGGTAGTTTTCATAATGCATTTAATAGCATTGAAGGTAGTTATGGTAGCGTTGGAAGGAGAAGCACTGACCTTAAATTGTACAGGAAATGCTCAAAATTATCAGCATGAGTAGTTTAAAATCAGATATAAATTTTCTGAAGTTCGTGCAATTGGCGAAATTTGATGCTACTGAGCAAACAATTAAAGAACAAAAGAGTTGAAAATATTGGCTGTTGAGCAAATGTATATGAAATTTTATGTTGAAAGATATGTTTTACAAAGACACTTCTTACACTCACAACAATCACGAAATATAACTTGTAACCTCTCAAATCCACATTCACACAAATTTTCAACTGCCTTCCAATGTTGTTTCACCCGGAGTACTGCTAGCAGAAACCGCATCAACAACGGAACCACTGCTGACAGCCCCAGTATTGTCCACGCTTGTTGGTGTTGGGGAATTTGATCCACCCGGAACCCCTTCATCCACTTGTTTAGGCCTATTCAATGCATTGCAGTGAGGACAATAGTAAGTTATGTATGGAAAATCCTCTTTCCTCGCAAGCCCTGCAAACATGAAAAGAGAAAACGCGTGACCAGTGAAATCCTACATCAAATGTCACTCCAAACAATTAACTAGTTATTGTTTTACCATTACTGTTGTACTACAAGCTAAGATGCACAGATACGAATACATAATCCAGATACTATACGATATAGATACATCAATACGACTTTTTTGGAAAAAAATTAGGATACGCAAATAAGTGTAATAAAATTCAAAAATATTAATACAGAAGCATGACGATAAAAATAAAATAAATTACTAAAGCATTTTTTCTTAATTATTAATTGTTGAAACTTCATTTCTTCATTATCATTAAAAATAACACTCTCCAATTAACAACCTCAAGCAGTCAAACACCTTCAAAAGTATCAAATGAGGGCAATGTCCCACATTTTGGATTCTCCTTTCGAATAGCAATCCAATTTTCTTGATTTAAAAAAAAAAACAAATTGCTACAAATGAAACTAATTCTTCAGCTCGTTGTAAAGTGCACAAAAGAATGTTCTTTTTAGCACTAGATGAAGAAGAAGGTTGCACAAGAAATTTCAAAACAAAACAGTAAAAGTACATGCAAACCATGAAGTATCAATTACGTATCGAAAATCATACAAAAATAATAAAAAATAAAAAAAAATACGTATTTGATACGTATTGAAAACTTAAAAAATAGAAAATTATATAAAATAATTTAAAAACAAGTATCCGGTACGTATCGGAGCTTGGATACGTAACAAGTTTGTAAGTATCGATGCTTCTTAGACTACATGTACATAACAGTTTATATACAAATGATGTGGTGAAATATGATTTGGTTAAAAAAATTTCAACCAAATTATTAAAAAAAAAAAATAAATCATTTTTTGACATATCATTTGTATGTAAACCATTATGTAATTCCATTACATACAAGTAGCATTATTCTTACCATTATGTATATGGCAGTTTCCACATATAAGTGCATAAGATTGTGTGGGGTCCTCTCCCACAAGTAATGCTGCGATTCGAGCAAACCATCCCCCATCTTGTGAAATTCCACCTGTTTGAGGATGATGTTCAACAACCAATTGATGTTGCTGAGAAAAATCATCAACGCCGCCCTCAAACTCTACTTGATTAAGCATGCCTTCCTCAGGATGGTACCCAGATGCAGTCTCTGGGCCTTCAAATTTGGAGGTAGATGCCTTCCTGTTACGAAGTCCGGTAGTCCTTGCAACTTCCACATCATTGCTCTTTCCAGTAGGGGCGTCCATCATATTCTCTTCCCCCATGTATACTTTCAGACCTGAATCTGCGCCCAACTTGGATGCAAGTACACTTGCAGCGGCTGCCTTGGCTGCTGGGTCAGGGTCATACCTCTGCACTGAAGACTCAATATAAGGATCTAATCTAGTACATTCCAAATCTACTATAAGAGGGATGGCATGTTGGTTAAAGGAGGTCACGGAGACCAACTTAGAGCATGTTTGCTTAAAAACATGTTTTAAAATAAATAATTATTTTATTGGTCAAAGATATAAAAATGCTCACAGTAAGGTAAAAATTACTTCTAAAAAATAACCTTTTCTAATTAGAAATAAGAAAAAAGTTATCCAAACACGTTTAAAGAAAAGAAATTAAAGACAACAGTACTACTATTAAGCTTAGCCAAACATGCTCGAGCGGGAGAAATAAACCATATTTCTAGCCTGAATATTTCGCAACCACTTCTGCTAGCTTGGCACGAACTACATGCATGAAGAAAAAATGAATTAATAAATGCAAAAACACGGCTAGCTTGCAGTTATCACCTGTATAAGCTGTTGGGTAGTGTAGTAATTTGTCTTCTCTTTGAGTTCATCAATTTTTTCTTGCCTCTCCGCTCGAAGCTTTTCCAAAGTCTTCTGGTCCTTCCGATCACCTAAGAAATCGTGTGTGAAAATAAAATAAAAAATTACCCCACTTATCTTACCTAAGATAAAAAAGGACATGTGGCAATCTTTCCTTAAAGAAGTGCACTCAGGGATGAGTATGTATGTAAAGATCCTTTCAGAACATTTCTAGATTCATTAAAAAGGAGAGTTACTCAATTTCTAAGTACCTTTTGCAGCTAAAGAAGCGAAAAACTATGAAAATTGTAGAGTACACAATTTGAGGACCAAATTGAAAATATTTAATGATTGGTTTGGAGCACAAGAGATATTTTGAAGTTAGGAGTCAATTGGATGCAATTAGAATTCAAAAGAGAATGGAATATGATCAGAATATTACCATAAAGCGATTTTCAATCACAAAAGATATCTTCCAAATTTTTAGTCAAAAATTTAGACCCATTTTTACATAGTAAACGTCTGAATTGAAATTTTTTTTATCTCTAGTAAAAATAGATTCTCTTTGAGTTAGCTTTTCCAAAGTACTTTAAATTGTCTCAATTCTATCGGGAGAGAAAATTATGATCAAAATACTCACTATTGTGCAAATATAAAAATATGCGAGCGCGAATGTAACTTTCCTTATTCAATTAGAACTCTTTTGAAAACCAATTTGGAATGTTATTTTCAACTAATTCTCAACTCTTACAAATACCTACCGGTAGAATACATTAAAGACCTCTCTTACACCTCTGATATACATCACATGCTCTAACACTTATCAATTATTATTACCGAAGGAGGAAAATTCATAATTTTTGCGAGAGAATTGACGGGGACTTGCAAGAATTTGATTAAGTGAAGATTTATACTAAATTTTCGGACAAAGAAGAGAATGTGCAAGTGGAGATTCATCAAAAAAACCATTGAAGAGATTCAAAATTTCAAGATTCATCTTCATCTTTTCAATTTATCAAAAATTCGGGTTATGTCGTCATACTTACTGATTTTTTGTAATTTATTTGTTAGGCTAGTTTTATACTTTATTAGGATGAGATGGACCTTTGTTATGATATTTTTAGTTTTCTCATTAATTATTTTGATTTTAATTTGTTTGATTTGTGGATGTTTATTATAGTTTTTATCATTCTTTTCAATTGCTTGATCACCAATTGAATTGTTAGTGAATTTTATTATTATCAAGAGACATTAGGGTTTAAGCACAATATAACAAAAATTGTAAGATTTGATAGAGGATAGAGATATATACCTCTATGCTTTATATGATTTTAATAGGTATTCTAGCACTTGTTAATATATTTATCATATTTGTATCTTCAATTTGGTTGCTATCGAGAGATACTTTCAATTAAATTAGGAACATTAACTAACATGAATAATTTTAAATTGTCACTTTAATTGTTACACTAAAAATAAAATAATATGGGGATTCGAATCTTAGTAATGCATCTCACATATTTGAAAACACATTTACTTGCTTTCACTAGTTTAATTGACAATTTAAGAATTAATATAGAAAAATCACAAAACTTATTTGCTATTCGATTTAAGTTGCAATTAATTTTAACTTGTTCAAACACATAATTCTCGTGAGTTCGACACTCTATTTACTACTTATTCGCGATCCAGTCCACTTGCGAGAAGTCAAACAATCAAAGCTCTAATTCAACTGGCAGACGAAACACTCTTCCCAAAATCCAAATGATCGGGAGACATGTCTATAAGGGTCTTGAACACTGTTATGTAGGCCACAAAGCATCGTCAAGTTTCTTGGACCAGTCTTTTCGTGAGAAACTTATTTGTCACCTTAAGGATACAGCTTCAACTCCCTGTTAGAGCTCTCAACTTGCCCAATGGTCTGAGGATGATAGATGGTGGCTATGCGATGTCGGATGTCATATTTAGCCAACAAGGACTCAAATTGACAATTACAGAAGTATTTCCCCCGTCATTAATAATTACACATGGTATGCTATACAAAGTGAAAATGTACTTTTTCAAAAAACTTATCACCACCTGAGCATCATTAGTAGGTAATGCAACTACTTCCACCCATTTAGGGACATAGTCAATTGCAATGAGAATATATTGATTTGACAATAAGAGGGAAAATGGTCCCATGAAATCAATCCTCCACACATCAAATAGCTCCACCTCTATGATATTGTTCAATGGCATCTTGTTAATTCTAGAGATGTTTCCGATGCATTGGCATCTATCACATCTCTTCACAAAATATAAGATCTTTGAATATTGAAGGCCAATAGAACCCGGACTATAGGATTTTTGCCGCTATCATTGAAATACCAAAGTATCCAGCATAGGTGGACGAATGACACTACTCGAGTATCTGGGAAACCTTTTCTTTATTAATTTACCACCTAATAATCTGATATGGACCTCTCCTGCAGAGAATAGTATCCTCCCAAAAGTAGTATTTCAAGTCAAAAAAAGAATTCTTTTTTTGATGACTTGAATAATCTATTGGAATGATGGATTTGGCCAAATAATTCAATATATCTACAACCATGGTACATCCTCCACATTAAAAATCTATTCATTTGGAAAGATCTCATTTATGTTTATTGATATTCTCCCGTTCTCCATGCTCAAGTCGGGATAATGGTAAGCTACTACCTTTTTAATTTACTCTTGTCTCTTATCTCTGAAACAAATTCTTATAGGAATAATACTCATCTGATCAGTCTTAGTTTTGCATATTTCTTTATTATCGAATACTTTAAAACTACATGGTCTGTATAGACTATTACATTTGATCCAACTAGATATGATAGAAATTTCACTAAACAAAAATGCTTTTTTGCGACATGCAAAAAGTAACATTCATTAATTAAATGTTGATAAAAGGGTCTATTGTAACATTCTAATAAGTTAATGTTGCCATTAGTGATAATAATTAAGATTTGGCAATACTTGAGTTCAAGTTAAGCTCGAACCAAGGCTTGATACTCATAAAAAGATTATAAGTTCTGATTTTTCTTGTGGTGCATTATCCTTCCTAAAGTATCTTACATTTATCAGTCATCTTGACTTGAGTGTTACTTTCATGTGACAATTTGCTATAAAATTGTAGTACATGCCATGCAAGTTTGAGAGAAGATACTTGACGAGATTTGTGCGAAGGGTCCGACTCCAAGGCATCTCAAGTACCTTGTCACATTTCTTCCAATCTTAAAGGCAAGTTGGCTTCACAGTGCAGTGGAAAAAATATGCACAAGCTAAAATATGAGGATTGAGGATACATATATTTTTGTGTACTCAAAACAGATCTGTACTTTATGGCGTTTTATCACCGGAATAATTTAATTTTGTTGCTAAAGATATTATACCGGTTTTTTTGTGAAATGAAGTTTAAATCCCTCAAACTTGTTTGCTTCAGTGATATGTATCTTAGTTTTTGATTGAGTTATCAATAATTATGGTTCACCAGATGACAAGAAAGGACATATGGCATGGTTTCTAGTTAACTTACTATTTGTGTGGTGCAATAGTGATTGACATTTATTCTTGTTTAAAAGCTTATAATACTTGAAATCTTGTTGTCCTTAAAAATAAATGCTTTTTTGAGTGTCTTAGAGGGCTAATTAGGAGTTCATGAAGGACACCTGAGTTGTAGAAGATTTCACCAATTCAAATTTGATGTGACACTTTGACATGATGAATAATTTTTTTATCCGGTGATTCTTGTAAAATCCTTATCATGATCCAGTAATGAAGGATTGCTAGAGAAGCATTGCTTAGAACTCGTAGCAGGCAACTAATTAATTCCTTTTGCAAGACACTGATTACAAGTGATACTGGCACACATGGAAGCTTCTCTGTTCTTCGTTATACTGCAAAAGTTCTTCCTCTGGATTTGGTAACCCTATGATATCATCATTTTGCCTCATGTGTTAGGGATTCTTATCTAAACTTTCCTTTGATGCCTTGTGATTTTTCACAAACACCACCTGCACAAGAACTCATTGTGAGGAATCTTCATGATGGTACAATGACGGTGATCTAAATCTGGAGATGATCAATCACACATGGTGGATAATATATTAAAAGACGAAGGGAGTATTGGTTTTCTGATGGCATTATTCTCATAGATCAGTGGATGCACAAAATTATTTTTGAGGATGGTGAATTGCCTGATTATTCAAGTAATAATTCTCATGGAAAGGAGATCCATACTAATACTATGAGCACTGTCATCCATTTTTCTATTTAAATAGGTTAATTTTTCGCTTTCCCATTTACAGAGCTATCAGACTTTTTTTTTATTATTAGTTTGCACTAGATTTAGGCACTATCGTAGACTTGTTTTGATTATTATTTTAAATTATATTTAGGCACGTTTAAATTTATAGGGTATCATTATCCCATCATGTTTTTGTTAAGGCCCTTAAATTTAATGTTGGTTACTTCGAGTGTTTGGGCTAAGTAGCACGCGTTCTTGATTATTTGATCTCTAATGTTTGATTTGATTGCCATATGCTCCTACATGACATCGTGGAACATTCAAACCAATATAGACCAAGGGAAAAGCATGATGAGGAAGATTGTCCAGCCATCACCCATAGTCCCTTCCATTGTGAGGAATCTTCGTGATGGTACAATGACGGTGATCTAAATCTGGAGATGATCAATCACACATGGTGGATAATATATTAAAAGACGTAGGGAGTATTGGTTTTCTGATGGCATTATTCTCATAGATCAGTGGATGTACAAAATTATTTTTGAGGATGGTGAATTGCCAGATTATTGAAGTAATAATTCTCATGGAAAGGTGATCCACACTAATACTCCGGGCACTGTCATCGCTTTTTCTATATAAATAGGTTAATTTTTCCCTTTCCCATTTACAGAACTATCATAGACTTGTTTTGATTATTAGTTTGCATTAGATTTAGGCACTATCGTAGACTTGTTTTGATTATTAGTTTGCATTATATTTAGGCATGTTTAAATTTATAGGGTATCATTATCCCATCATGTTTTTGTTAAGGCCCTTAAATTTAATGTTGGTTACTTTGAGTGTTTGGGCTAAGTAGCACGCGTTCTTGATCTCTAATGTTTAATTTGATTGCCATATACAGGAACATGACATCGTGGAACATTCAAACCAACACAGACCAAGGGAAAAGCATGATGAGGAAGATTGTCCAGCCATCACCCATAGTCCCTTCCACACTCAACAAAAAAATT